TCACTATTTGGGGATAAATTGAATTGTTCAGCAAGCTTTCTTAATATGTATTTTCCAATCAAATAAAAGACATTCTTAACTCTTAAGTGAAGAACACCTGCCTTCAGCCTCAGTGTGTTTCAAGAAATCTTGCACAGAGACCGATTTTGACTCTTCATGATGGCCTTCCCTCAAAGGCTTAAAATCGGACAGAGGAACACTAAGAATCCCTTTCGCCAGCTTTTGCAGCTCATTTTCTCCAACATTCTCCTCATCAACAGCATTTTCTTCTCCAATTTCCTTTACAGAAGACACATGTTCAACTACTGCAAACTTCAAATTCGTTAAGAACCCACCAAAAACATTCTCCTTGTCCCATAAACCGCGACACAGTGTCTGCTCAAAATGATTATCAAGCGAGGTATAGCCTTCATAACCAGTGGTTTTAAACTCATGAGCTTGAAAACCCAGTTTGAACATTGGAAAACGACCCAGCTGTTCAAAGATCGATCTTTTCAAGTGTTCAATCCACAAACCCTTTGGCCTAATTTCACCATTGTTACATAAACTATCTAATTTGCCTGCCCAATCACGGATAAAGCTAAAATTATCATGCTCGTTGTTCCCACATTTTTCAGTATAATTTCCAAGAACTGCACTGACCCGAAAGCTCCCCTTTTCGCCATCTTCGCCATAAAAGACTGCATCTTGACCACTCTTCTTCTTCTTCTTCTTCTTCGTCTTCTTCTTCTTCGCATTCAATTGCTCCAAATCACTATTTTTCAAGACCCCATCAAAGCAATTCTTGAAATCCATGGCAAATTTCCTGAAATTCGACTCAAGTGGATAGCTAACCACGACATGAACAGAGTGAAAAATTGAATCCAACGGATTACTCCCCCCTTGCAAAGCCATCACTATCATAAAACCTAGCTCAATCACAAGAACTCATACGGAAAAAATCCACAGACACACAACACGATGAACAGATTCAATCACACCCCGTGAATCTCATCGGATCCAAATATCGAACCCAGCTGTTGGTTTCGAATAAAATACAGAATTCATCAGTTTAATCTGCAGCCCATGAAGGAAAAACCAGCGACGGGAGCCGAGTGGGATCTGGTATGATTGAGCATGTGATAGTGTAGTCCACCAATCAGTTTAATAATAATGTAATAATAAAATAATGTAATGAACAGTGATTGAGACAAACAAATGTTTTATAAATAAATAAGATAAGATTATAATAGTTTTTGTTTAATTTTAAATTATCAAGTGATTTATTAAATAAAATAGGGTAAATAATTTTTTCCAACCTGTACTATACGTGCTTTTGAGATTTTCAACCTAAAGTATTTTTTATTATAAAATACAACCTCAACTACATATACAGTCACTATTTCCACGTTCGACTACTTTTTGACCGTCCGATCATCCGCAAAAAAGGACACGTGTATGGTCAAGATGTGGTCGAGCGTGCAAATAGTGACTATATATGTAGTTCAGGTTGCATTTTACCACAAAAAATACTTTAGGTTGAAAATCTCAAAAGCACGTATAGTACAGGTTGGGAAAAATTATTTACCCAATAAAATATTATAAGTAAAATGAAAGTTATTTCTTTCTTTTTTTCTTCTAACTAGTATGTACCCCTGCGATGCACGAGATAGAAATATTAAATGAGTTATTTTCACATGCTTTGTCCGTTTAAGTATATAAAGCAATAGGATTATCATCTATTTTTCATCTCTTTTAATCAACGTTATTTCTTTAGTCAAAATATTAAAATGATTAATATATTATTTCACTAACACATTTATCTTAATTTAAATTTGATTTTAGTATATATATATATTCCTTGATATAAGAGAGAATAACAATATTCTTGTTCATCATATAATACTTAATTATTATTTTATTATACACTTTATGTCATATAATAATGTCATTATTATTTATAAAGTTATAGAAGTTGTACGTCTTATTTATATTTTTATTTGATATAAAAAAAAATATTTAATGCACGTTGGTATTATTTATTTTATGTAATCAATTTAAAATATATAAATAAACTTAATAATAAATAGTGTATAAATATTTTACAAAATATACACATATTTTTTAGAATTTAATTTTGTATGCTAATTAAACAACTTTGAGTCATAAAATACCAAAAACTCGATCCCCTCTATGATCAAGAGTTTTATAATTCGCATTATAAGGATTTATGGTTTATTTAGCATACTCATCAATGAATATATATTTTACAATAATTTAATTATAAAAATAAATAAAAAAATAAAAAATATAATCATGGGTGTCAATAATATACAAATAAATTATAAACAATAGTTAATATGTTTTAATTTTAATTTTTTACCATTAGTAAAACTATTTATTATATTTGGTCATTATCTCTTAAATGGTAAATTATATTAATTTGAAGAACGATTTATTTTTTATATTTAACAAAATAAAGCTTAAGAAACAAATATATTGGCAAAAATTAATTCACCAACTTAATTTTGTGTGATTATTTGGAAAAAAAATTCTACCTAACCTATTACGATTTTCAATAAATATTTTTAGATAAAAAGTGAAAATTTGTGAAAAAAATGAAAAAACTAATATTATGGTTAGAACTTAAAATATGGTGTAATATTATTTTGACCAAAATATTATCAACATGGATCACAAAAATCAATCAAGTAATTTATTATAATGAATATCAATAAAAGTATTACAAATATTAATAAAATAATATTTATCTTGACCAAAATATTATCAACATCAATCATGAAAATCAATATTGTAATTTATAATAATTAATATCAATGAAAATACTGCAGATATTAATAAATTTATTGAAGTAATTATTTGATCATATGTTATTTGATCTTTTTTGAAAACATATAAATAGAAGCAATTAATGCATACATTTAAAAAATTTCCAAAAATAGTATGCATTAGATGTTTCGTAAATTTTTGCTACTATTTTTAGTAAATGGTAATTCTTTTTATATAGATATAGATATAGATATAGATTATAAGTTATATTAAAGCTCATACTAGCATAGATTCCTTTGCAATGCATGGATTGTAAGTTTTATAAAAGATAATTTATAGAATGTTTGTAATTTTATTATACCATAAAACTATTATTACAAACAACATTAATTAATATTACAAAACAAAAGAAGGATAGAAAAATATTAGTTAAAAATATGGTTAAACTTAAATTCTATTATTGACATGCATTACTAAATTTAATTATTCTCCATGCTTATAATATAATATAGTATAAGAAAAATCAAAATGGTATTTCAATTTAATAAAATTGTAATCAATTAATTTCATAATTATGAGTAGAAAAAATTAAATTAAATTATAAATAAAATTTTAAACACACAGACACACATATATACATATACCATTTACATTTGTTACATAAAAGTTGATGGAAAAGTATATAAAGCATTTATCTCAGCTACATATACAGAGACAGAGAGGTTCAAGAGATTCTGCAGCTCCAAATATGCTTATTCACTTCAGTTACATTAGAAAATGTAGCGCCAGTAAAACATTAGCACAAATAAGATGCAACTAACTTAATAAAGGTTAAGTTCGACTCTTATCTGAAGTCACCGGTTTCTTTCTTTTTTTTTTTTTTTGGCCGTTGAATCAACACACATTACTATCAGTAAAAAACCTCAGTAACTACTACATATTCTTTTGAGAATTTGCACCAAAGTGCTTTTCAGCTACAATTACCGGTAGGTTGAAATGTTCCGTAACAGCGATGCCATGAACATGAAAACTAATTTAAGGAGAGCATAAGCCAGTTATGCTACAAATCAAATACAATACAATACAAGTAGAGAACATATTTTTTCTCAGTTCAGTTCAACCGAACGAGCCTGCCTACGATCCATCACAACATTAGCACATCATTCCACAATTTCGAAAGTCGAATATCATTTTCATAATTTTTCCTTCACACGTAGCTTTACTCTCTAATTACCGAACGAGACTAAACTCTCAGTATAAACATCCGCCTCAACAAAAGCACCGAATTTCATTGTCTTCGGACACCTAAGTCTACCTCCGCTTGGATCCCAAATCACAAAACTCGAACCACAAACCAACAAGACCTCGCCCGTGGGCCCCATGCACAAGGGCTCCGGATATGGACCTTTCCTAAGAACACAACAGATAATATCATAATGAATACTCGCCATTTTAACCCAAGAATCTCCAACTCCATAATGCTGCAAAACCCAAACATCCAAATTCATTTCGCGAAAATCACGAAGCACGCAAAGGCACCCGCCAAGAATCCCCAACGATGCGGAAAAGAAGCCCTCGAAACCCGACGGCGGCTCAACTTTCCCCAAAGTCTCGGTTGCTAAATCGAACGAAACAATTTCCCAATTGAGCCCAACTTTCTTCCCCCAATGCAGCTTCCCACCGACAAATTTCGCGGCATCATCGGTCGGGAGCCCGTCATTAAAGATCTCAACTTTTTTCCAAGAATCGGCTTTCAAGTTGTAAACTTTGGCCATAATTTGATATCTATTCGGGCCAGAGAACCCAGTCATAATCCCCAATACCTTGTAATCGCAACTACCATAGTCAAATCCGAACCCATACTTGGAAATAAACAAACAGTTCATGTTATCATCATCCACCTCGGGTAGTTTTTTGTAATTTCCGGTGCAAGGGTTCCAGAGGGAGAACTGCTTACCGTCGACGGCGAGGCAAACGAGCCCGTCACAGCAGCCGACGATCCGAACTGAATTTCCGGGATTCTTCATCGGGAACCTGGATTCGGTCGCATCGGCGTGGGGCCCATGTAGCAATGTCCGCAGATCGACCTGCTTCAGGCCGCCGGACGGCAGCAAAATGGTTGCGATGATTTTTTGGCCGGTGAAATTAGGGCTGTCCTTCGAGATTCGGAGGTGGGCCCGGACGAATTGGTCGCCGGAGATCAGGGCGCGCCATGATTTGGAGACGCATTTGAATCTGACGAGGGATTTGACGGGGAGTCTTGATAAGATCTCGGCGATGATGTCGTCGGGGAAATTGGGGGCGGTGGGCTCGGCTGATGGGGTTTTGAGGAACTTGGATTGAGGTGAATTTGAGAGTGATTGTGGATTTGGTTCGGATTTGGTTTCCATTTTTGGATGAGATTTGTTTTTTCTTTGTTTTGTTATGTGTGGACTGTGGAGTGAGATTTTTGTCTGCAGTGAGATTGGCTGTGGGCTGATTTTAAATGTAGCTGTGATTGGATGATGATCATGTAATTATTGTTCTCTTTCACCAATGATGAAATTTGACTTTTCAAATTAAACCTATTCTCTGGTCATTGGAGCCGAGCATGTTCGTTAAATCAGAACTCGAGCTCACTATAAACGAGTCGAGTTTGAATCTTAACGAGATGATGTTGAACTTAAACGAACTGAATTAGAAAATTATATTAAAAAAAAAAAAATTGAGTCTTATTGAGCAGAGCGGTAAACCAACCATGCTTTAAATGAGCTCGAACTCGAAGCGTTAAGGTCTCATGCTCAAGCTGAGAGTCAGACTCGTTTAGTTTAACAACACTATGGACTACCAATAAAAATTTGTGGATAATTCAATATTTCTTTTAATCAAAACACAATTTTCATATTGGTTTTTGAGTTTTTATCATTCGGTTATACACAATTCACACACAAATTTATATGAATGTGGTGTCGATACAACAGTAAATAAAAATTGATAAGGATACTGCTTTAATCGATTGACATAATTTATCCATTCACTTGTGAAAATCAGTTTTCTTTATTACTCACAAACACATCATCAATTCATCATGGGCAACAAATTTGTAGAAGAAAAAAAAAAAGGAACAAAAATTCAATAAAACAAACCAAAACTATTCATCACTTCACATCGATGTTATGCGAGCCCGAGAAAGACAACCTTTTTCTAGCTGACGCACTTTCGGGTGTCCCCAATGGGCTCGGCGGCCTCGAATTAGCCCTGGTCGACTACGTGGACCCCATGTAGCTCGGGACACCTGGCAAGCTCGATCTCTTGGAAAGCGTGCTGTTAAAGCTCCTTAAATCTTCATCTTTGAATGTGGCTCGTCTCGGGCTCGGTGGCCTTGGGGTTCGGCTACCCGATCGCGATTTTGGAGTCAAAGGAGATGTGACCGTGTTTTTGCCTTCGTTTTCACATTGGCGTGCGAACATCCAATGTTCTAACCAGCTCCAACCCCACCTCGGATTGTTCGGGTCCATGAATGTTTGGTTTGTCGAGTTTGACGAGTTTCTCCATGTTTGCTAAAAAGATTTGAAAAAACTCCATATTAAAAAAGGCTTATAATTGTAATCGAGTTGTAAGATCGAAACACACTCGTATGAATAATAATTTACTTGGTGCGAGAATGCGTAGGCCAATGCCCTCTCTCGTCTCATGGTGACCTCTTCCCGGTTACAACGAGTCGCCTCAATCTGTTCTCTCGTCTGCGAGCTGTCGTCCCAGTTTTCTACGTTCTGTTTTTAAAATTAAATTCCACCACGAGAAAAATGATAATGAATAGCTAGCATATGATTAGGCCTGTAAACGAGCCAGAAAAACCAGTTGAGGGATAAGCGGCAGATGTTGTGATCGAGCTCGGCTCGTTTATCACTATTAACGAGTCGATCTCACATTTTAAATAGCCAAACTATAAAAAATTATATAAAAATTAAATAAGCTCGAACTAGGCTTGTTAAGTCCTCGAGCTCGGACCGAACTCAAACCTTAATGAGTTGACCCAAGTCAAACTCGTTTAATTTAACAGAAATACATTATGATAGCAACACGAAATCAACACAAGACAAATTCTCAGTTGAAAGTATTGAAATTAGAAGAGAACGAGTGCACGTGTAAAGTGGCTTACGGATATTTTTGACTTCTCGGCTTCCTTTTCGCTATTGTGTTGGATTTTTCGATGAATAGTCGAGTTCTCGACCGACGACAATATTTCCCTTCTCCTTGCACGAACCTCAGATTGCAAACGAGCCACCATTTGCATCCACTACAAGGTGGCGGAGGCTTGATGTTGGATAGATTTTCCGGCGGCGAGCGATTTTAGCCTCACTACACCTCTCAAAGCCCTCAATCTTCTCCTTGCCTGTTGTGAAAAACACCATATTTTTATCCACGATAATCACTTAAGTAAACATTGTACATAATGAAAATAATATTGATTTGGTTAACATAGACCAAAAATTAGTTAGTTACAAGATGAATTAACCTACTGTTACATGACTAGGCTTGTAAACGAGTCAAGCCAAGCTCAACTTGATAAATAAGCGAACCAGAAATTGAGCTCGAGTTCAGCTCGTTTATCACTACAAATGAGTTGAGTTTGAGTCTAACAAGCTGATCTCGAGTTTTAACGATCTGAAATATAGAAATTATATAAAAATTATCTTTTTAAGCTTTAACGAGTTGAGCTCGAGCAGCCAAACCAGACTGGTTTAATTTAGCAACATTAGACATGACACATCATAACAATTAGATGGGTCGACCCATCATACTATATGGAACCAGACTCGTTTCATCTCAGAATTTTTGCCTTATATTTTGGGAGGTAATATTACCAAAAAAAAAAAGAAAAATAAAGGCCAAATGAATGAACATGAAACTGTGAAAACTAACTCCACCTTACCATGTAACCTCGAAAAGCTGTCTGAATATTGATGGCAACAATCTCCTCTTTGGACTCGCCGGATGCTGAGGTGGCGACAGCTGTTCTGAGGCGGACAACTTCTGCCGCCACGGCTGTCGCGAGGGCAAAGGAGTAAACTTGCATGTTCTGTTCATTCTCGGCTTGGATCAACTTAACATCTTCAGACAGGTTTTTTTTCTGCATTTGCAAACTTTTTAAACTCCTTGTTCTTCCCCTGTTTTCCGAACCATTTTATCGATTTTTTGTGTCCCTAATAGGGAAAAAAAAATATCTGTTGGAATATCACTTGTGAGTGTCCCACATGGATTCTACAGGGAAAATGTCTAGTATATAAGCCTAGTGGAATACTCCTCCCACTACAAATTGGTTTTGGGATGGAACCTCACTAAGGTGCATCTAGGCTCACCCTCTTATGGTGCGCCTTCATCTGGTGGGACCGCACTCTCTTCCCCCATTTCTAATATGGTATCAGAGCGGGCCTGTCCTAGGACCTGCAATGACTCTCTGGGCTTGGGCTTACGAAGGACTCACAAGTGAGGGGGCGTGTTGGAATATCACTTGTGAGTGTCCCACATGGATTCTGGGAAAATGAGTCTAGTATATAAGCCTAGTGGACTACTCCTCCCACTATCAATTGGTTTTGGGATGGAACCTCACTAAGGTGCATCTAGGCTCACCCTCTTATGGTGCGCCTTCATCTGGTGGGACCGCACTCTCTTCCCCCTTTACAACCAAGTGGATAACCAAGAAAAATGTACTTAGATGCTCTAGCATCAAATTTATGTCTATTTGCAACCAGAGTTGATGCATAACATAAACAGCCAATAACCTTCATGTGATCATAAGTGGGCAGTTTGTTAAAAAGCATTTCAGAAGGAGATTTGTTTTGTAAAACAAGGGTATGAACTCTATTTATTATGTGGGCAGCAGCTAACACACAATCAACCCAGAAATGCAATGGAAGGTTGGCATGAAATAGAATGGCTCTGGCAACTTGTAAAAGATGTTGGTGTTTCCTTTCTACTCTAGCATTCTGTTGAGGTGTTTCAACACATGAAGTTTGATGCATAATACCATGATCAGAGTAGAATTGCTTGAGAATAAACTCAGTACCATTATCAGTTCTTATGATTTTTATTTTTCTATCAAACTGAGTTAACACCATGTTGTAAAAGTGAATGAAATGATTTTTGATGTCAGATTTCATGAGAACAGGATAAATCCAAGTAAGTCTGCTATAATCATCCACAATAGTGAGAAAGTACTTGTGACCAGAGTATGATGGAATGGAGAAAGGACCCCAAACATCACAATGCAATAAATCAAAGGGAAAACAGATTGTATAGCAGCGGAATAACAGGATCTATGCGACTGATACCATATCAAGTAACAATCAAGCACATAAACAAGGAAGATTGAAAGATTGCATTAAGAGGGAGAAGAAGAACATAGGTCTTGTACAGAGAATGAGAAAGGCGGAGAAAAATAAAATGTAAAGAACTAACTAGGGTTTACAAGGGAATGAATATTTATACTCATGCTAGATAACTAAAAGTGCTAAAGGGGAAGTAACACTTCTAGTATAGGAATAACACAACTAATACAAAAGCATTTAAATGTAAACATTATATTATTCTATTGATATCATTTCTTTTTTTTTTTTGGCAGGTGGTTGAATTAGAATTTAGGTAAAAATAAAAAATAAAAATAAAAAATTAAAAAAAAAATGGAATGAAGTACATTGTACATCTTCTCTCTGTTTTGTTTAGAGTCACAGCTGAGAGCTCTTTTGACTGCATAAATCCAAGCGCTTCTTTTACCCATTTCTAGCTAAGCTGAAACTAATCACAAAACTCTGAAAAAAAAAAAATAAATAAATAAATAAACAAAACAGAAAGAAATTGATCAACTACGAAAATTCTTGTTTTTAAGGAAGAGTTTTCACAAACTTTGGAGATTATTATTGTGTTGAGGAAATTGATATCAAATAATGTGTTTGCTTGACGGGGATGTGGGGGCATTTTTGGTGTTTCACCTCACACTTACTGCCTGCAGAGGTAATGTGTGGGGAGGCTGTCTGAAGGTGGGGCCCACCTCAACGAGTCGAGATATACCAAATCCGAGTGCTCAGATCACTACACAAAGGCGTCCTGGCTCACACGTTGTCCATCCTCTACCGATGAATTTACGGATTAGTGTTTTAGTTTTGTCATTTACGGAGAGAATTGGGGCTAAGGATGCGGCTGTGGTCGGAAACATGGACGGGATTTCACCGGCTTAGGGTTTGGAAGAAGAAGAAGAAAAGATTAAGGTTGCGAGTTGCGACAACTGTTGGGCCTTTGTTACCTGCTTTTATTATTGTTGTTTTAACTGTTGGGCCAACTGTTTAACTCAAATTGAGCTCGTTTATTAAATAAATAAAATTAATTCAAATTTTAACGAGTCAAGTTGAATCGGACTCATTAACGACTCATTTAGTTTAACGACTCTACTAACTCACTCGTCTATTAAAGGCGTCCGGACCATTGTAGCTAGTATGCAACATTTTGATAAACAAAGTGTTAAAACTATATATATCGTCTACACACAACATTACATATTGAAATCCCTCAGATTTGAAATAAAGAAGAAAGTATTGTATATCATATCAACATTTGAAGAATGTTCATGCAAAGCATCGAAATAAACCACTTGTATGATGTTTTACATATTATATTATGTTCTAAATAAACAAAATTGCGGTCATCACTTGATTTTCATTAATCCAATCCGTGAGTTGCCATTGTAGGCTAATTGACTTGGTCAAGACAATTCTACTTGCCCAATTCAATGGTTGACGAGGAATCAATATTGTAGAAAATTGTGACACGTAATAATTCCAGCTATGAAAAGAAGTTTGTGGAGCAAGAGAAAATATTGGAAAATCAAATGATATATATATATATATATATATATATATTAATTCTAAAACAAAATTGAATTGAATTTGTAAATATAATTAAGTTTTCTCATGTGAAAAAAGAAAAATTCAAATTCATGGAGTATAAAATATAGGAAGTAACATACTATAATATTATCGAAATGGTCATTCTTAAATATGTGTGTGTATATGAATATATATATATATATATATATATATATTAATAAATATAAATTTATATATGTAATAAGAATATTAAATAAAAACTCATTAATTAAAATTTATTATTCGTGAACCGGCCCGTATATGTTCCTTGCCCGCTCATGACCCTTCAAAGAACGTGGCACGGAACGGACGTTTCCGACAAGAAATCGGGTTTTGGCCATGTCTATATGCTTGTGTTTCACAATTGATAACATAAAATTAGGAGTAACTTAACAAATAACCTTCGCAAGTATACAAAATTGACACTTGGAAAACTTCACTTTGTGTAGGCCTTAAAAAATTCAACACAAGCTCCCTCATTAGAAATGAACTGTTTTCTGCTCCCAACCAAAGATCAACTTCAACAATTATTCATCTCCCTACAGTTTGCTCTCTTCTCACTCAACCCTCAAGAAAAGTAAAGCATCCACGTTTCTCATCCTCACTCATATATTTTATTTATTTTTTCTCTATTTTTTTTGTTAGTTGGGTAGTTGGATCTTCTCTTTGAGACTAAAGATTTTTTCTTTCTTCAAAGGAATAAAAAGATAATCTTTTTCTTGTTCGGTATTTTCCTTTACATTTTTATTGCAACTGGGTAACTTATTTCATCATAATTTATATATTTTTTGCAGTTTTGAGCTAAAAATTGCTCCTAAAGTCCTATTTTGAGGAGAAATTGCTCGTTTTCTTGATGGGATTTTAGGAAAGTGTTTCCTTTTTTCTTTCTTTTCTGCTTTTTCAATAGATGTTGTGAGGGAATTGTATAATATTGAGGTGTGCAAAATAATGTATTGGTGGTGGGGTTGTTGTAACTCATGCCCAGAAAGTGTTTGTGATGAGATCGCAGAGGAGCCCAACTCGTTTTCTTTGCCTTCACCCCTTCCACAATGGCCTAAAGGTTTGTTCTTGAAGATATTTTCTGTAAACTCTTTTTTATGTATTTGTTTGTTTGATTTTGTTTGATAATTTGAAGAAAGGTTTATTTGATCTTTACCTGTTTGCAGAAATAGAGGGCTTTTGTACCTTTTTGCTTGTTAATTGAGCCATTTAATGAATTTTAGTGTACCAATTTATTATCTCTAAATTTCTCTATTTCTTCACCTTATCTCTACCAAGAAAATGGAGCACATATTGATTGCATGTATGTAACCTGAAGTTTTGTTCATCTGTTAGTAATAGTGTTCAAAATACCAGGCTTTTTAGTCTATCAAAGAAAATTATGTTTGAAGTAAGCCCATTAGAGTATGAGTTGGGTGAAGAAGAAGTGTTTGTTTGTGTTGTCACAGGTGAAGATTTTGCCACAGGGAAAATATCCCTAGGAGAAATCGAAGTTGTCCAAATTACAAAATTCGACAAATTATGGAGTTGCAGCCCGTCGATCGGAAAGGGAAATACTGTGACTTTCTACAAACCAGCCGAAATCCCAGATGGATATTTTGCCCTCGGCCATTATTGCCAGCCGAGCGACAAAAGATCGAGAGGCTACATCCTTGTCGCCCGAGATATTTCCGAAAATTATAATCCTAAACCTCTTGAGAAGCCTCTTAACTACACTTTGGTTTGGATCGGAAATTCAGACGAATGCGGTTACATCTGGCAACCGAATCCACCTCCCGGCTACAAGCCTATGGGATTTGTGGTCACAATCGGGCCCGACGAGCCCGACCCGGATGAAATCAGATGTGTCCGGGCCGATCTCACGGAGAGCTGCCAAATTAACGAGCTCATATTCGATACGAATTCAGTTTCTTTAAGTGGCCAATTTCACGTCTGGACTATTAGGCCGTGCGAGAGGGGAATGCTTTGCAGAGGTGTCCCGGTCGGAACATTCTTCTGCAGTGAAAACAAATTTTACGAAGATGATAATGTAATAACAACTGTTGCCTGTCTGAAAAACCTCGATCCTATGTTATCCGGCATGCCGAATCTCGAACAAATTCACGCGTTGATCGAACATTACGGGCCGAGACTTTACTTTCACCCAGACGAGACGTACCTCCCATCGTCAGTTTCTTGGTTTTTCGAAAACGGGGCCCGTTTGTTCGAGCGAGGGAAAGAGGAGAAAGGTTTACCGATCGATTCCAAAGGCTCGGTTTTGCCTTCCGGTGGGGTGAACGACGGCGAATTCTGGCTCGATTTGCCGGAAAGCGATAAGGAAAGAGACTGCGTTAGCAAAGGGAACATCAAAAGTGCCGAGCTTTATATCCACGCGAAGCCCGCTTCGGGTGGGACTTTCACCGATATTGCTGTTTGGATATTTTGCCCCTTCAACGGGCCCGCCACTTTAAAAGCCGGGCTTTTTAACTACACTTTTAAAAAAATCGGCCAGCACGTAGCCGACTGGGAGCATTTCACCTTACGTGTGAGCAATTTCAGCGGCGAGCTGTCGAGCATTTATTTTTCCGAGCACAGTGGAGGCGGATGGCGGGACATTTGCGAGCTGGAATTTGTCGAGGGAAATCGAGCTGCTGTTTACGCCTCGAAAAACGGGCACGCGTGTTTCCCTAAAGAGGGTTGTTATATCCAAGGCTCGTCTAATCTCGGGATTGGTGCGAGAAATGATTGCAAGAAGAGCGATTATTTTATCGAGTCGAGCTCGAGGTATAAAATCGTGGCAGCCGAGTATCTTGGCAAGAAGAGTGGTGGTGGGCCCGTGGAGGAGCCCAATTGGCTGCAGTACATGAGAGAGTGGGGCCCGAAAGTTGTGTACGACTCGCGATCGGAGCTGGAGAAGATTCTAAAGCACTTCCCTTTCTTTGTGAGGTTCTCGGTCGAGAATCTGATCGAGCTTTTCCCGACCGAGCTGTATGGAGAAGAGGGGCCGACTGGACCGAAGGAGAAGGATAATTGGTTGGGGGATGAAAGGTGTTAAGCTTAAGCTGTCTTTATAGTTTATACTCGTTTATAATTATTGCTAGAGTAAAATCAAATTCTTGCTGATGATAGCTTTTGTGCATTCATCAGTGTAAATCAAGAACCTAAGTTGATTTAGGTCTGTGGGGTGTGAATATATATATGTGATAATGTGTTTGTTGCTGCTATCCATAATGTGATATTTCCATATTGGCTATTGCAGATTTTGAGATTAAAAAAGAACAATGGAATGTATTTCATGTACCATTGGTAAAACAGCAGAGGAAAAATAATCTGAAAGCGCCAAAAGAGATAAATGAACCTATATAAATAAATAATTTTTAATTTAATTATTTTTTAACTCAACTTTAAAACATTTTTACTATTATCAATATCAATAAATAAATATTAGTGAGTCATTTTACATATATTATCAATATAAATAAATAATATAAATAAATAATATTAGTGAGACATTTTACATATATTACAAATTACATCAACCTTAGTTAATTATTTACAGTCTCACATAATTTTAAAAAATCATCTCTTCAAATTATCTCTCTCGTAATTGTACATAAAATCAACTTTAATTATTTATTTTTAATATTATTTTAGTATAAACTCAAAATTCTATTAAAAACTAATCATACCAACCTTTTCAAAATTAATTATGAATAACAAAAAATAAAAAATAAAAAATAAAAAATAAAAACAAAATCAAAATCATATCCAAGCACACCCTCCTTCCCAAACTGATAAACACTAGTATCAAATATGTGGATTTTTAATTCCTATAAAATTGAAATATAAACAATTAATAAACAATTAATAAATATCAATAACTTCAAATATATGGATAAGTAAATTGAATTATTTTATTGAGAACTATATAACAGTAACTAGTTTTTATTTTAGAGAAAAGAATGAGATACAATTCATTATTTACTGTGATTTTTTTTTTAATTTCGTTCTAAGTTAAATTAATTAAAATATGAACCCCAAATAAAATAGAAAAAAGAATTTATTTAAAGTGTGATATGTTTATTGTCTAACTCATAATTTTAAATATTACATATACATATAACAATAAAATTTTATTTGCATTCGTGCATGTGCACAAATAGAATAATCTATATATATATAATAGCTAGCTAATCATTAAATAAAACCTCATTTATTTTCCCCTATTAAGTGTAATCATGTAAAAAAATTAATAGCATTAACTATTATATAATATAATAGAAAAAAATAGCATTAAATACTACTATAATAATAATAATAATAATATTAATAATAATAATAATAATAATAATAATAATAATAATAGTAATAATAATAATAATAATAATAACAACAATAATAATAATATCTTGAAATAATAAAATTGTTTATACTTATATAATTTATATTTAGTGTGAAATATTATGAGTTGGTAATAGCATTAACTATTATATATTATAATAGCAAAAAAATACATGATTATATTAAAATATGGTGTATTAATGTGAAAGACAAAATTATATGAATGACAAATTTTGTAACTTTTTTTGGAGGAAAATAAATGGATTAATTAGGTTTTATAAATACATGATTACACTTAATTAGGTTTTATGAATATTATTATTATTATTATTATTATTATTATTATTATTATTATAATTTTATATTTCATGAAACACTTTTTTTATAAACAATTAGTATATAGTTTTAATAGTATAGTAAAACAACTTTAAAATCTTATAAACAATTGTCGTTGTAATAAGAATAGTAATAGTAATAATTATTATAATAATAATAATAACAATAAAGTTTTCAAGTAAATTATTTGACCATGATCCCTCCAAATTATAAAAATTACATTACCCACAACTTTTTTAATCAATATAGTGACTCATATGTACTCAAATAATTTATATAAATATTATTTTATTTTTACTAATGATTAAATCTTGAAAATGTGGCATGTTCATTATTTAGAATTTTAATATTAAATTCACATATCTTGAAAATGTGATATGTTTATTATCTAGAATTTTAATATTAAATTCACATATCTTGAAAATGTGATATGTTTATCATCTATAATTTAAATATTAAATTCACACATATTACTTATTATCTAGTACGCTAGAATATAGTATGCTTAATTGAAAGAGCGCAGGTGGACCTGATAGAAATAAAATAATAGTAATGGGCAAGATGTATAATAAGATGTTAAACGAGGGAGCAAACTATAATTTTTCCAAAAAAATCCCCAATTCTTTCAATTCATCACAAAAAAAAAGTCAAGGGGCCCGCACCTCCTCGAACCATGCTCAAAAGTCATGAAGCCCCTCAAATCTCAACTGTTCAATAGTTTGATCCAACAGTCTAAAATTTCGAGACCAGTACATTGTAGCAGTTAATAGTCACCCTCTTGTTTTCCCACCCATAAACCCTAGGAATCCTGCAAATCTACACGCCTCTCGCAGCCCTTTTTTTTATAACTTGAAACACCATTGAAATCGAGTGAAAAAGAGAGAGAAAAGGGAATTTAATATTTTAATTTTTTTATTATAATTACTGTAAAAAAAAGTACCCTTTTGGAAATCGAATTGATTATTTGTGGAGGACGAAAAAAGGGATGCTTTAATCTTTCTTTTTTTTTTTTTTTTTTCTCTCTATTGATAATATTTTGTATCTTGTTATTTGTACGCGTTCCGTTTCGATGGGTGTCTGAGTCCGTGAATCTGAAAAAAAAAGATAGGATTTTAATGAGATGCCGGTGAGATTTACTTGAACTTCAATTTTTTTCCCCCAAAATGTTGTCTTGAAGCATTTTATGATTCATTTTGTGGCCTGGGACTGTGGGACAGAACTTGGATGGAGGAAAAATCTGGGTTTGTGGTGGGTCCGACTTGTGACCAGTTGATCCGAGTCAACTGAGTTGGGACCGATTTGTCATGGCAAAGCCGTGAAGAAGGGTGATTTTGCTTGCATGTTCGTGGGAAATTGAGCTTTGGATGGATACTTGCTAAGTTAGTTGGAAAAAGAGAAACCCAGTTTGAACCTGGTTGCTTGAGTCGGTCAAAAATTTTGCTTCCGCTTTAAGAGTGAATTTGGCGCAATATTAACTGATTAAGCGATTTGAACTGGGCTGCAAGCTCATGCTGCATCAATTTACTGGTTACCCTCTGTCCTTTTCATATGATAGGCGAGAGAAAAGATTTGGGTTGGCGTTACTGCCATAGCTGGCTTAGTTCTTTTTGCATTGGACCAAGTTTTGGTCATTAAGGCGATCAATTACAAAGCTGAAGAGGAAAACTAGATCGGGGGCTTTGCCTCGCAGGAGCAAACACAAGCCAATGCCTTCGGTTGGTATGAGAAGGAGCACAAGGGTGTTTGGGGCTCAAGTTTTGCGGTCGGGAAGGAGGCTATGGACCAAGCCTCAAGGAAGCAGCAAGAAGAAAGTCGGTATAGATCATGTGGAAAATCAGTGGGCCGAACTTCGAAAAGAGTCCACTGATACAAGAGAAATTGCTGATGATTCTTGCAAGGAAACAAAGCAGGAAAGCCCAAACAATGGTTTGGCAGATGTTGAAATGCGGGAACTTACCCCAGAATGTAGTGATGTGGACATGAAAAATGCGGACAGAATGTATGGGATTGTGTACAGAAGAAAGAGAAAACGGGCTGAGTTGGGAAAAGTTGTTCTTACGGAGGATAGAAGATGTGGGAAGAAGTTTTTCAGGAAGCAATGGAGGAAAAGAAGTAAAGTCGCTTTGTCTGAATCTTGTGTGGTTGACCGGGGTTCAGTGATCAGGGTTTGTGAACTTGCTGTTGTTGTAAATGGCTCGTCTTGTCGATTTGGTCATTTGATTACTTGCTTGCTTAATACGGTACTGAGTTACATGTCTAGGGTCAGGATTGGGATTAGACGGTTGTCTGCATTTCTTTTGTCCAAACCGATATGCGATGCTTATTCGTCAGGTGGAGTGCTTTTCCTCCAGGTAAAAATGTGATATTTAAAATATCAATTTAGTTCTCCGGGATAAATTTTACCCTTTTTTATTGTGGAGTCGGGCTTTGAGTTTTGGGATCTTAAAGTTGCATTAATTGATTAGTGAGATATCAAACTCGATTTTGATTCCATGTATCTTATCTTGCTTTCTTTGTTTTGAATTCTCTTAATTTCTTGTGATTATCGTGCTACAACCATTTTTCCCCCATTTGCAGGATTCTTCCAAGGCCAATAATCTTGTTATTCGCATAATATCAGGATCCATGTCATTAATACCAACTTTTTCTGTTAATCTTTTCACCATCCCAACGTTCTATACGCATATGCAAACAAGCATGTTCATTAGATCAGCACACTTGGCTTGCTTTCTCGTGGCACCTTCGGTCAAAGTTACAGACATGGCTGATTGTTTCGAAACACAATCCGTAACACATTTAGTCGATACATTTGAGAAGGATGAGAAAGTTACAGACACTCGCTCTTTCGATGTCACATCTTGTATGGAACAGCAAGATTCTGTTGAACTATTACCTCAAGTTTCATCCGGAAGAATAAGAAAAGAGTTGCCACAAACTACTGCTGCTATTGGAATAAATAAATCAGCTCTTCGAACTTCGAAATCGAGAAATAGTCATCACATTCAGAAAAGACGAAGTTCCTTGAGACGCAAGAAAGGTCGAACTCATTCTGGCTTTCGAATCCAAAAATCATTTGGAACTTTAGCTACCGAAATTTTCAGGATCAAACAAGAAAGTGCCAAACTTTCTCCGGCCAAGAGCAGCAGTCCCATGTCGAAAAAAATCAGTGAGCTAAAATGTACAGTCACACAGGACGTGTTCGTGACAGGCTGTCGTGTGAACCTGTTAATAACAGAACCTGACAGGTGCTACCGGGAAGAAGGAGCCACAGTCATGTTAGAATTGTCCGCATCTAAACAATGGTTCCTTGCCGTTAAAAAGGATGGAAAGAAAAAGTACAGCCTAACTGTTGAGAAAGTCATGCGAGCTTCTTGTACAAACCGTTTTTCTAACGCGACTATCTGGGCAGTTAATGGCGGTTTGAAGCTTGAGTTTCCAAACAAATACGATTGGCTGAGTTTTAAGGAGCTTTACAAAGAATGCTATGAAAGGAACTTGCTTTCGCCTGCGGCCAGTGTAATTCCTGTACCGGGAGTTCAGGAAGTGTCGGGCCTCGCCAATATGGATTGTAAGTGTAAGCCTTATGTGAGGCCCAATTCGTACATCCGCATGAGGGACGATGAGTTGACTCGTGCTCTTGCAAAGAAGAGCCCGATTTACGACATGGACTCTGATGATGAGGTCTGTCGGGCTGAATTGAATGACGAGTTGTGTGGGGGTGAGCTTATTACGCCCGAGAGTTTCGAGTCGATCATTGATGCTCTCGAGAAAGGCTCTCACTGCAATCCGGAGGAGAATTTTGACGAGCAAGGGTTTTCTGATATATGCATGCATTTGGAGAGAAGAGAAGTTGTTGAGGCCATTCATGGCTATTGGGTTAAAAAGCGAAAACAGAAACGAGTGGCTCTGGTGAAGATTTTCCAGGTAAAAATGATTTTTCCTATTAAAGATTTACTAATGTGCTTCTATCAAGGCAAATTGGATGCGTACTTTTGTTTATATTTAGTTTTACCAATTCATGGGTTTTCTAACTTGCTTTGCTCTAGGGATTATTTAAATTTCAATGGTTTTTGAGGGAAATTATTCTAAAAAGTGTGTGGGCCTGTGGGATATAATTTCGCTCATATTGTGGTGGAACTGCAGTATTTTGATAATGCATGAACTTTTTATGATTTACAATTTTAGGCGACTCATATATATGTTATTGAGGTAAGGCTGAGAAAAATCTGAGGAAGAAAAGCAATGTATATATTTCTTGTAGTTGCTTGAATTTATTATCCTCCATTGAGAGGCATATATTGTTGACCTTGGTATCGGGCGGTTTTGAGGTTGATGTTATGTTTTTGAATCACTGTCTGTTATTGGTATTTGTACCTAATAATTAATGAATATGAACTTGTTTACCTTATTATAAACTTAATCTAAAGGAACCAATTTGGGAATTTTATGTGTTGCTCTGCTGTAAGTATTCGTTAAGGCCACTTAGTATTTCACTGTTCATCCCTTTTGTTACTTTCCTGTTATTCTGATAGTTCATTCAATTGTCTCACATTAATTTGTTACTTTATGATGCATCTGGGAAGAAAATTATATGAGGGCTAATTAAGAAAGAAAAAAAAGGAAATAATAGCCATTTTACCAAAATATAAATATCAATTACAAATGCGCCTTTTTTGGCCACTGTCTTACCAATTGCACCCTCTAAATGGTGTTTTTTTTTTTTTTTTTTTTTTTTTTTTTTTTTGTGGGCATATGAACTTATGGGGGGTATTTGTTATTCAATGTTACTACTTTGGTGTTTCTGTAATTTGTTAAAACCTGAAATGTATTTATGTAATTATTCGCTTGTTCTAAACCTAATGGTTCCATTGTGAACTGGTGGTTTCTTAATTGTTATCTGGTCCAAAGTGTTTCCTTAATTGTTTTTCTTCATTTCCTGTTTATGCCAAAAGGAATCAAACATTTGTCTATCTTTCTGCTCTAAAATTGGATAATTTTTTGTCTTTTTTCCCTACTTGCAGCTTTATCATCCTAGAAAAACTCAAGTGATCCCAAAATCAGTTTTGCGCAAGAAAAGATCTTTTAAACGTCAGGCGAGTCAAGTTGGACGAGGCAAACAAAGGCCAACATTTCCAGGTATTTTTTTTTCTCTTTTATTACCTTTATTTATCTGTGAGCAGTATGAAGACTTTGAACTTTGTTCTTTATGGTGATAAACTGTAAATATTGTGTAATTCATGACAATGTGGGACCGAACAAAACATATGTCTTTATGTAATACAATTTAGAAAGTTCTTTTTAAAAAAAAAATATATATAATCATGAATTTCATTCAACAGCTATTATTCCTGCCGAACGAGACAACACTTTAGAGCAACAAGACAATGTACACAAGGTGCAAGAAGCTAAAGCTGCTGCAGAAAGATTCGAGGGTCTGGCTATTCTTAAGCGGCAAAAGGCCCAGTTGCTAATGGCCAATGCCGATTTAGCCACTTATAAAGCATTGGTGGCTCTTAGAATTGCCGAGGCAGCCCAAATGGCCAAGCATCCGGAAAATGTCCATTCTTTTCTTCCTGGCCCATTGGCCCAGTCGTGACGAAACCCATCTCGGCCCATTTTGCAGACTAATGGGCTTCAGTTTTTTTATCAAGCCCTCTGATGGGCGTTTTGCGAGTATTGTAATTTTGTATAGGTTCTGATTTATTGTATATTTTGTATCACTATATAACTGATGACTAAAATGATTGATTTGTGTAAGGGTTTTTTGCTGGTCACTTTGGGTCCTATGAGGCCCATGATTTGAAAGGTCACTAACTTGCATATCATTAATAACTTAATATTTTCAGCAAAGATATTTGCTCATCTGTATTGTTGAGTTTATTATGTAACTAATATATTCTCCACGAAGCACTCGTGTGAAGTTACAACACAAGGGCTCGGAGAATTTTCAATATGAGACAACTTACATCGATAAGAAAATAACAAACTCTGACTCCAACTCGACAAAGCTCACTTATTATCCCAATATATATGGGTAACTAACTAATCTAGCCACACAACATTTAAAAAAAAAAAAGAAAAAAAAAAAGAAATATATATAAAAATGAAAAATTAATATCACGAGTCCCTACTTACTTTCATATATATTATTAAAACAAAACTTTTGTTACTTTTGTCGAAAGTGGATGGAACGTAGTCTAACTAGTTGCAATATTTTATTTTATTTATTTATTTATTTATTTTTTCATATTTATTTATTTATTTAGTGAAAACGCGTATCATCAGATCAATTCGTGATAGCTGATAATTTGACCACCTCAAATCCTCAATATATATTACCATATTTCATAAAAACAAAAATTAAAAAAAAAAATGATTCATGAAATAATATTTGACCTATTTAATTATTTAATTAAGAAATACTAATTTTTTGTTGCACTCGATCGTGATGCAAATTTTAATTCATTATGATAAGAGTTACACGTACGTATAGATGACATTCATATGCTGCATTATTGATATGTGACTTGTAATTTGATCATAAAGTGGAAAGTTTCACCTTTTATACTATTATATGCCAAAAGAGGAAAAGTAAAGTAAGGATGGTATTATTTATTTATTTTTTTGGTTCTATCAAAAAAAAAATAAAATTATTGGAGGAGCTGAATAATTCTAAATCAAATTAAGATGAGTATATAAGGTCCCCTTATAATATCTATATAATAATTTATAAAAAATTTATAAATATTTTTTTCATGGACATTGTGGGCTTCTCCCGGGCCCGCCATAATAGAAGTATGTGCCCCAATTATTGTTGGCAAAAGTCTTGATGTTGTAACAATTTGGAGACTCGGCCCTTGTTGCAACACTTTGGGCTGAGCCCAGGTTGTTATCCTCATCCACGATCTGAAGGTTACGGAAATAGCTTGCTTTTCGGAACCCATCTTCCGCAAAATGGCCCGAGCCCATCTGAGTAGAAGTGTGCTGATTATTGGCCCGTTTGTTTACGATCTCGCCACCCCACTCGACCATGGTGGCCCGGTCCGATAAGTGGGTGAATAACGTACTGGGCCAGTAGCCCACAGGCGTATCACCAACGGCCAACCACCAATTTCCATCTTTTATGTCCTGCATAATATAGAGAAAATTATTCCTCCACCAATGTATTTATTTTTTTAAAAAATTATAATTAAATATACTAGATTCATCATCATGGTATACTAACATTTGAGTAGTGGTTAATTTATAATAACCTTATTTTTGCAAACATTTTAATAAAAATGTAGTAAATTGCTTAAAAAGTTGTAAATACATATATAATATATTTATAAATATATTGTTTGTATATATATTGTCATTTAAATTTCTACTAGTATTAATACCCATGTACAACATGGGTGTTGAGTTAATGAATATATGTGTAAAGTTATTTATGTCTAATACTAAACTTAACTTCAGAGCAAAAATAATATAAAAACAACATCACGAAGCATAGATTTTCGTCATGTCAGCATCCGAAGCGTGAGAATTTGCCACATAAACTCAACACGTTTTGAATTAATATATAGGGATGAATTTTTCTTTGTAAGTTAAATTTCCATCCATACCTTAAAAATGCTGATGACAACCTCATATTGACTTCCACCCATGGTTGAGCATGGTGAAATTGCAGCTCCAACTAATATTTTCTTGTCCACTTGCACGAACCCTGGACACAATAGATTATAGCATCCTGTAGATTGGTATGCATCTTTCTGCAACAAATTTATTTAAGGGAAAAAAATAAAATTACTATAAGTTATGACAATTTTATAAAGCTTATATTATACAATTATATCTAGGCAAATTGCAATAATAGGCATTATCAAATATCATATATACCGTCCAATAAGTGAATAATCTTGGTCGATTGTCACCGTACAACTTCGGATCGACCTAGCAAATGCAAAGGTACAACCGTAAAAATAATGGTATTTCGTGTTCGAAAATTGCCTGCTTTTGAACTATAACAAAAGAGAATATATTTGTTACCTGCCAGCCAGCTTCAACGCTATTGAGATCCGAGTCGAATGAACCAGCGACAACCCAAATTTGTGACAGACTAAACTCTTCTGGTGACTCAACGGTCGGGTCCCACAAGTTGATTCCCGCTTTCGCCCCGTAAGTCCCTTCCTGTGGACTGGCGAATGCTACCGCGTACTTTTTGAGATGAAACGGAATCGAAATTATTTGCAAATTGAAGAAAAAGAATCATAATATATATCATGGTAAAATATAGCTTTGATTTTCATAACATATAGTCTATATATTCATATTAAAACAAGTCGTGTGATGCATATGAATATAATCACGTACCTCGTGGCTATTGCCTTCAGTGGAAAAATTCGACCTAATTGCTTGTTTCTTGCCAAAATGGTATAAAGATTTGGCTCTAAGCACATCGTGAACCGTGACACGCCTAACCGGCACAGTCCCATCTGGGCACGAACGGCCAGTTAGATGCCACATTTGCCATAGTCGATTACGTCCATCGATGCTTTTATTAGTAGTGTTTGCTCCATCGAATTTAGTCGCCTTTGGCATTTTCGGAGGGATGATCTAAGAGATTATATATGTGGAAAAAATATTATTAGAAGTTAGAACCCTAAATTTATATAGTATAATATATAATTCAATCAAGATAAGTTTAGAATAATATTGCGACACAATTATGAATATTACCTGTATTTTGAGATTTTTCAAGAGTGGATGATCCATAGCTGGTTGTTTTGTTATAGGAATGCAATCAACTATATCTCCATCTGGACTCTGAAAAATTAATTAAGCACATAAATATAGATAAATTAGTTACATATTAGTCTATTTTATTAAATTGATAAAAAAAAAAAAACTAGTATACTATAATAACATAAAAATTAAAATAAAATTGGTGATCAACATATATCTATACCTCAATGGTCAAAATTGGTGACTTGTTAATTTTGTCCAGCTGGCTCTGAATCCTGGCTAGTCTCAAGCTGCTTACATTATTCAAGGAATTTGAAAAGGCCAAACATGACATAGAGAAAAGTGCAATAAAAAATAAAATAAATTCTCTTTGCATGATCGCCATTGCTAAAAACCTATATACTTTGAGTTCTATTATATATAAAAGGGACAAAAAGAACTGATTCCTTTATATATATATAATAACAAAAAAAAAAAAACAATAGTTACAAAAATGGATATAATCTTCAATTATGGAATCATAATTTAAATAAAATTATATGTGTGATATTAAGGATGTTGAAGATTTAAGGTAATATATTCTTTACTTATTATACTACAAATTATTCAGTTTTAATATTTTCGTGATAACCTTAGTAGCAATAATTAAAGGACACAATTTTACAGAAATTAAGTTGCAATATTTTTACATGATCTCAATATCTATTTACAAAATATATTTCCGTTAATGATAATTACTTTCTTTCTTTTGTACGATGTTATTTCCTTACCTTCTTGATGCTATTAGTATATTCATGTCTTAGGTTCACAAAATTGAATTTTACAGCAAAATTTAAATAAATTAATTGGTAGATGAAGAACAAATTGATATTCACTGGCCCAGCCCACCATAGTAGCCCAATCTTGCAAGTGGTTGAGCAGTGTATACGGCCCACGAGCATATTCTCCCAAAGGCCATCAAACTATGATGGAAAAATTGGTATATGATATGTTGTGGTGGGATTTTAATTTTATATTAAAATAATATAATTAAAGTTGATTTAATTTAAAAACATGAGAGAGATTATATGAAGTGATGTTTAGTTAAAATCATATGAGTGAATGAATAGTGTATTATAGGATTGATGTGGTGTGAAAAATGATTGTTTGATATTATTGATTATATTGATAATATTAAGTATAGTGGGCTGTAGACGTGACCACTGGCTCAACTCGCCGTTCCGGCCCGGCCCACAACCGACCCGTAGGTTGCCAGTTCCGAGAACCAGCATCGTGGCTTTACGGACCGTGTCTGGGTCTTTTTTTTGTTTTTTTTTTTTTGGTCCCTGCCGGCCGACCGGGCCGGTTCCACGAGTCGGCCCTTGGCCTTTGGCGGGCCGGTTAAGGGTCACTCATGGGAGGCGGGCTGGGCCGGGTCACGGCCCGTTGATTGGTCATGCCTAGTGAGCAATTGAGTTAAATTCTGAATAAATGTATTTATAAATAAACACCCCTTTAATAACAGTCATAATAATAATTCTACACTTTCGAATTTTAGAAGAAAACCAAAGGAATAATTGGATTGACTTTGGCATATAATTTTAGGTTCCTTGTTTTCTTGTTTTCCTCTATGATCACGGGCACTTTGGGCTTCTCCCAGGCCCACCATAATAAAAGTATGTGCCCCAATCAGTATGTGTGCCGAAGGTCTTGATGTTGTAACAATTCGGGGCCGTAACAATTAATTCAGTAACTTGGACTTGGCCTAGATTGTTTCCATAGTCCACGGTCTCCAAGTTACGGAAATAACTGGCTTTTCCGTAACCAGACTCAGCAAAATAGCCCGAGCCCATATCAGTAGAGGTGTGTTGGTTATGGGCCCGAATGTTTACAACCTCACCACCCCACCCCACCATGGTGGCCCGGTCCGATAAACGGTTGAATAATTGACTGGGCCAGTAGCCCACAGGCTTATCGCCAACGGAAACCCACCAATTTTCCTTTTTTGGGTCCTACAAAATATATCACACATGTTATAAATAATAAACCACAGATTAGTTGTTTATAAATTGTGAAAGTTTAATATATTAGTAATTTAAGATAAACTTCATATACATGTTAAACACGCCAACTTATTCAGATTTTAATTCAAAATATATATAATTATAGCAAATAACATTTCCATACAAATCTAGCAACTTATATAAAAGAGCAGATTTTTTATAAACATGATAATTTTTAAGTTACAAAAAATTGTTTAAAAAGCATAAAACAATTATAGTCATTTATCTTAAGTTATATATTTGACTTGATAGCATTAATATTATTTGTTATAAACATCTAATCACAGTCGTCATTAGGTGATCTATCGAATTTACTAATTAATTTATATATAGTTTTTATTATTTTTTATCTTTTTTAAAAAAGTCCTTAATTACCTTCCAAATGGTAATAATAACCTCAGCCATATGTCCCCCGACGGTTGAGATTGGGGAAATTGCACCTCCAACTACTATTTGCTTGTTTACTTGCACGAATCCTGGGCACAATAGATTATAGCATCCTGTAGTTTTATATGCATCTTTCTGCAATTTTTATGGAATAATTATAAGTAGATAAGTTAATAATTGCAAATTAATGACTCAAAGATAGAAATAAATTTGAAGTTACCGTCCAATACGTGAAAAATCTTGGTCTATTGTCACCGTACATTTGTGGATAAACCTGAGCATACAACGATACAACGGTAAGAATAATGTTGGTGCTTGTTGAAGGGTGAGCAACAGTGCAGTTCAATGAAAAATTGCATCGAATTGTAAAAGTCGAACCTAGTTACAAAAAATTGAACCTCACATCTTTTTTACAATATTATAATAACCAAATCGAACCGAAGAAAATGAATGATTCAGCATGATTTTTGGGTTTACATCGGTTTTTTTATATATTTTATTCAGTTTGGTTCGGTGCAAAACTGCACACTGAATTGTACGGTTAGGCTCGATTTGCTAACCTACTTGTCTGGATCCGACCACCCATGAGTCCAAATACAACACGAATCACCAACTCAAATTTCAACAAAGAGAATGCGTTAGTCACCTGCCAGCCAGATTCGATGCTGTTAAGGTCCGTGCCGAGTGAGCCAGCCGTAACCCAGATTTGTGAGAGACTAAACTCGCCCTTTGACTCTACGAATGGGCCCCACAAGTTAATTCCTGCTTTTGCGCCGTAAATCCCTTCCGATGACTTGGTGTATGCAACTGCGTGCTTTATATCCAACGACCATAAAAAACACACACACATACAATCATATGGTATAAATATTGATTTCCAAAGGAACGGAAAAAGAAAATCACAATACCATTCATGCATGATAAATAATTCTTGATTTTTTCCAGTAATATATGATTCCTTTCGCTTCAAAATGCCAAAAATACATGTAATGTATGTACCTCGTGGCTATTTCCAATCAAAACATGGCTTTGTTTCTTGCCAAAATGATACAAAGATTTGGCCCTAAGCACGTCGTGAGCCGTGACACGCCTAATTGGCACGGTCCCATCTGGGCACGAACTGCCGGTTTGATGCCACATTTGCCATGCTTGATTGTGTCCATTATCGACGCTTTTATTAGTGTTTGTTCCATCCAATTTAATTGCCTTAGGCATTTCCGGTGGGATGCTCTAAGAGATTATATGTGGAAAGAAATGCTATTATTAGAACCCTAAATTCGTATAGTATGATAATTAAGTATTTACGCAATTGCCTGAATGGTTAATATAGTTGCACATTGACAAATTTCATGTATTTTGTGATGTTTAAAGAGTGTGGATGATTTATAACTGGTTGTTTCGCTATAAAAACGCAATATATTATATCACAATTAGCTATATTTAATACATATGACAAACTCAACTCGACAAGTCTCTTTATTAGGCATGGCAAATAATAGGTTTTACGTAATTTCTTGAACTTTTAACATAAATCGGCCCATTATGTTCGAGCACGGCTAACTTGGTTATACGATCAACTTGATAAAAGCTCGAGCTTGGCTCGATTTGTTAATTATAGGTATATATTGACACTATTTCCTCCATAGTCGGTATTAGATACACATGAATAAAATGATAAATTAATTACCTGGATCGTGTGATTCTTCAAAAGTGGATGATCCATAGCTGGTTGTTCTGTTATACGAATACAATCTATTATATCTCCATCAGGGCTCTGAAACAAATTGAACACAAAAGTTAGGATCAATTAAATACAATGTTAATGTAAATATGCATTGAAGCTAAAATATAACATTATTACCTCAATGGTTAAAACTGGTGGCTTGTTAATTTTGTTCAAATGTCTCGTTATCCTAGCTCGTCCCCAGCCGCTTAACCGACTGTTGTGCTTTGTGTAGTCCGAGGAATTTGTAAAGGCAGCTAAACTACATGGTACAGACAAAAAGACAACAAAAAATAACAATTTCATGAGAATCATGTGAATTGAAGCCATTGATACACTTCTCATAATAATGTGAGGAAAGAACTGAATTTTAAATAAATAATTGAAAGAGGGACAAAAAATGGATATCATGAGGTCTAATTAAGAAAATACATGAGGAAGTTTGACTTTGACTATTTTGGATAGTCATGAAGAAACATTTTTCCCTTTTTAGTATATACTATTTTGGAATATTATTTCAAATAATTCCCTTGACTCTACGAATATTCCTATTCAGGTTCACAAATTTGAAATTTGTAGGAAAAAATGAGGTTAAAAAGGAATAAAAGGAGAGAATGGAGTATATTTTTAAATGGACAATAAATTATTTATTATTGAATAGATAGAAGGTGGGTGTAAGAAATAATATATTTTTAGTTTTTCACAATATGAGTCCAGACAAAAATAATTACTTATTGTGCCCTAGTTTCTCAATATGTTCTCATATTTAGCTAATTGCAGTTTTTACTTACGAGTGTGCTGAGCTAAATGGGCTTAATGTGCACTTCAGAACCTCCTAAACTTTGTTGGACTATTATTAAAATATGGGCTATTTCAAATGAATTAAATTAATGGATCCCATAACAATATCTGTTAGGACACAAATTTGAGAGTGGTGTGCAACCAGCCCATTGCATGGGCCTTGCCCAAGTTTGAGTTCGAGATGCTTGAGCTTGACTTGTGCTGAGCCGACTCGTCAATTATATAACAATCCTTAATTTCGAGTTTTAACAAACCTTAACAAGTCGAGCCGACTCGTCAAGTAAACGAGCTTTTAATGAGTTGAGCTCGACTCGTTTATCAAACGAGCAAAACCTAGTCAGCTCACGAGCAAATGTTTCAATTAGCAACTATAATCTTTAACTCAAAAACGAATTGCGAGCTATTACATTTGTTTGCGGTTGTACTCCACACAAATTCCACATACGAATATTGTAACAGAAACAAAATACTATATAAGTGACATGTCAAGACCGCATATTCATCCACTACCGCAAATGAGTGAGGTTGTTAAATATGATATTAATGATTAGAGAGAAAGAGAGAGAATAGAGAGAATGTATTCTTTTGGTATAATTTTTATTATAATTGAAATTTTTATTTATAGGAAAACTTTTGAGAAAAATGCTACAAGTACATAATACATGTATATAGAGGTGTACGTAACACTCACAATGAGTGGGTCCACTTGATTTTTTATTTTTGGTAAGACTTTTTTAATGTAAGTGTTATGTACACATTTTATGTACAGTTTTATGCACCTATAACATTCCTCAATTTTTGATGGCACAATCGTAATAATGTATAATTGGATCGGGGACAAAATAGTCAATCATACATATACATAATAATTCATTTGATATTTTATTACAAATTGGTATTTTATAACAAATAGTGTTTTTTTTGGTTTTTTTCCTCCATGATCAGGGACACTTTGGGCTTCTCCTTGGCCCACCATAATAAAAGTACGTACCCCATTTAATATTACTGAAATTGTTTATTTTTGTAACAATTTGGGTACGGAACAACTGGTGTAATGACTTGGACAGGGCTCAAGTTATTTTCCCAGTCCACTACCTCCAGGTTCCCGAAAATAACTAGCTTTTCCATAACCAACTTCAGCAAAATGGCCCGAGCCCATATCAGTAGACGTTTGTTGATTTTGGGCCCCTGTGTTTACAATCTCACCTCCCCACTCAATCAAGGTGGCCCGATCTGATAGGCGGGGGAATAGTTCACTGGGCCAATAGCCCACAGGTTTATCGCCAATCGGCCAGCCACCAATTTCCCTTTCTCGGGTCCTACAAAATATATCACATATTTATCGGGATTTGTTAATAGTAAAATAATTATAAATAGACTGGATATATTTTTTAATAGTAAAAAATTTCACAACATTAAAAATGGTGATGACAATCTCATATAGAGGTCCACTTGCAGCTGAGAATGGGGAAATTGCACCTCCAACTAGTATTTGCTTGTTTACTTGCACGAACCCTGAGCACAATAGATTGTAGCATCCTGTTGATTGATATGCATCTTTATGTAATATATTTTTTTTTTCTAATTAAATTTTGACAACTTAATATTTGATGTTGTTTGAAGTGAGAAAGATAAAGGAGGGATCAAAATTAACTTACCGTCCAATAGGTGAATAATCTTGGCTTATTGTCACCATATAACAGCGCAACAACCTGACCAGTAAATTGTTACAATCGAAAAAATTATAGTTATATCGTGTTTATGTAATTACTACAACAAAAGAAAAATGGGACTGGTTAGTTACATGCCACCCAGCTTCAACGCTATTGAGGTCCAAGTCATCGAACGAGCCAGCGACAACCCAGATTTGTGACAGACTAAACTCGTCCGGTGACTCCACGACTGGGTCCCACAAGTTAATTTCCGCTTTTGCGCCATATATCCCTTCCGAATACGAGGTGTACGCCACCGCGTACTTAAAGAAAGAAAATACAAAAATGAACAAGGAATTGAATATCAAACGACAGTGGAAAAAGGTGATCGAATGAGTGAGTCATACTCGATCGAGTGATCAGTTAATTTAAAATGACGGAGTAAGCGGACGTCGGATGTTAGTGTCACAAGGTGTAGAGGTCGACGATTCCAGTCTCGAATGAGTGCGTCATACTCGGCGTTGGGCCCAGATTAGTGCGTTGGTTGGGTAACTCATGGATCCACTCGGGTGAAAAATTAAAAATATTTAGGGACGACGAACAAAATAAAACTTGTTTTTCCAGTTGTGTATTTTTTACTTAGGCGGGCTTAGGAAGTGAGCATTATGATGGGTAGATAGGTGATAGGAGGCGCCGAGTGATTTCATCCACAAGCAGTAGAAACATAGTTCAGGGTCTAGTCTACCAGCATTCTAATAGAGTTGGGTGAAAAGTGATTTATAGGCCGTTGATGCAGTTTACTCAACTCTAAAAGGTCATCACGAATGGGGAATCTCAGCCCGACAGCCACCTGGTCGAGAAAGAAGGTGTAGTAATAGTCTGGCGGCTGGTTGGTATAGGTATTGTTGGGACGTGGTATTTTGAGTTCCCAGCTCGGGGAAGCTCGACATTTTTAAATTTTTTTGATATTTTATAGGTTGAATATGACGAAAGAAGGCTTGGGCGTGCCGAGCTAATAGTAGAGACTACCTCCTTTGCTTAATTAGCCGCTTGTGCCGAGGTGGGGTTGTTAGCTTTTGAAGAGGCTGGCAATGCCTAGGTCACCGACGACTCACCTATGGGTTTAGAGTTTGAAGTGGAAGGAGTGTTTAAATTAGTCTGGAGGACGGGGTGTTTTTATATGAAATACAATGTGCATAACGACGAGGGGCGCAAACAATAGCCATGGATGACGTTGAGCGAAAAAAAAAAAATGTATACAAATAAATCCAAAGGAGTAAGTAAAATTTAGTGGAGTCCTGCATACATACCCATGATGTTGTGGGAGGCGCGACTCCTGTGGTCGGAGAAGAACCAGGTTGGAGGAGCACAGGCGTAGTGGCTTGATTCTTAAAGCTCGAAATGAAGGGCTGAGATGAAGGGTCAGGCGATCATGGCTGCCCCTTTTTGAAAAACCTAACGGAACTCGTAGGTGGCGTAGGCCGCAAGCTTGACAGAGTGGGGCAGGTCGGCTCACTTCACCCTTTCGAGGGGATGGCGAATCAAGGGTGGAGATGGGCTCACAGGCCTAGATAAATGTGTTGGTTCGACGAGGTTTATGTTGAGCGAAAATGCATCTTTGGCAGATTGAAATTGACACTTCTCTGCATCTTTGGCATCTCCTATGTGTTTATGGGTGGCCTTTCATGTTAGTTTTTTTTGTCCTGTTTGATATTTTGTTATTGCATTCTTGTTTGTAGGACTATATATGGTTTTCCGAGTTGGGTCAGGTTAATAATAACTTGTGGTTTTGTGGGCTTAGTGTTGGAGATATGGTTGATATCAGATTCTGTTATTCAAACATGAGGGAAAATTGTAAGGGAAGTTATAAGGGCTGGTTAGAAAAACTATGCTTGAGCTTTAGACTGATCACCCGTGCTTTCAGCTTCACGTAGTTGATTCCAATCTATTTTGTGACAAAATTAGATTGACCATAACACTAGCTATTAAATAATCATAGCATTCAACAACTAACAACTTAAGTCGAGGCTCGACTTGTAGGGAAGTTTTAAAATCTTTTGCCGGGAATTTGCCGGAAGCTCCTGCCACCGTGTTTGGGGGAAGAAATGTCATTCCCGAAACATTCATTGACCGTATTTCGTTAATTCAAACCGCCGTGATGTGTGTAATTTGTCACATTTTTCAATTTATGCAATTCTCTAAAGAGTCGATGCTACCATGCAAGAATAATAATATACATATGAAAAACATGAAATGCTACGGTCCCGTTACAGAACCATTTCGTCGGGATTTTTAACCGTTAGATCAACTATTCTCGATCTAACGGTTACGAACTCCGACAGAATGGTTATGTAACGGGAACGTAGCATTCCCACGAAAAAACATCAGTTACTCTTTTCATTATAACATTATCAAAATCAATCTTTCATATTTTGCCAAAACACACAACTCAGTAAGCCAGTTGGTATAGATTAACTCATTCTTTAAAACCACGCCCTTGTTTGTTAACCGAAAAGAGAAAATATTTTCTTGTCACAAAAAACTAAAACAAATACAACCTAAAAACACAAAATGAAAATGCTTATACACCCGAATAACCAAAACAACGTCCCAATGAAAACAACCTTGAAGAACAATGTGATTTTTCGGACTCTGATTTTAGAATTCTACGTGAATAATGTTTGTAAAAAGCTTGCACGGCTCCTGTCACGCCGTCCTCATTTTCCATGGCTTTTGCAATCTNTATAGCTCGTTCTTTTACCTATCGTGCGTGTTTGTATTGAATGAGAATGTCCATAATTATGCGAGAGAAAAGTAATAACTACTTTGATTAATATACCTTAGGATCTAGCATGAAATGAATTGCATCAACCAATTTCTCGAGACAAAATTCATCGACCAGGATTGGTGCGGGGCCCACCCCACGGGCATGCACCTGTTCGCCCCAAAATTGTTGGTCGCCAAAAAAAGGCACGACCGTTGTTGGGCACTACAAAAGACAAAAGAATATATATATATATATATATATATATATATATATATGAAAAGAGAAAAAAAATTGTATGAATAAGAATAACGATATGTTTCATATTGTAATGAAAAGAAGGGAAATTATTGCAGCTTTAAGCCCGGCAGCCGTTGTTCCTGCTCCTCCATGATGAACCTACGAAATGGATTAATAAATAACAAAAATGAAAAAAAAAAAGAAAGTTGGATAAATTATTATATCACAAAATGAATAAATAAATAGCACAAGGGACTTACTACAGCCGCACATCGAGTAAACAACCAATCGTGCGGACAATTATCCAGTGAATAGATGAAGTCTTTTGGCTCTGCCACTGAGGAAATAAAGAGTGAAAGGCCACATGTTTGAGAGACTCTTATTCCAAAATACAAGATATAATAATATGCTAATGGCTGATATATATATTACATATATATCTTTTAATGATGGAAGTATGAAAGAGAGCATACAGTTTCCAAGGCCACCCCAACCTTTGTTAATGATACCACGTTGTCCAGTGATTTCAAGAGCCTCAACGATTATCTGAGTCATCTTCCCAGGCTCTTCAGCTGGCTAAAAGATGCGGAACAACAGATTTAACTAGTTTTATTTTATTTGTTCATTTCATTATATCTTATAATTAATATTTTGACAATCCAAAAACTAAATATAATGAGTATTTTTACACGTAAATTCACACAGGTAGAGTCCATTTAAATAATTTATTGCATGGACTCAACCTCGAGGGGAAGTATGTAAATGTTTCATTGCTCAAATAATTCAGCTATTTCCATATTTTTTTTTATCAAATTCTTGTATCAAAATGTGCATAGAAGATGATACTTACTAGACTACCAAATACAATGTAAATAGGCTCTTTACCATCTCTGAGAAACTCCATGAGTGAATCTGGTGGCTCGTAATTCGAAGCAAGGTCCATAAAATAAAACCCGACAACATCGATATTCGGTCCCCAATCTACATCAATATTATATATATAGCAAATTGTTATCTAATTTTCGGTTCAAGATATTTGCAGTAACTTTTAGGTGATTTTTACCATGGTCAAATTATATAGAAACCTGATAGAACTGACTCGGTAAATATTACCTTTTGGTTTAGGCACGAGATGGGGACTCCAAATATATGCACAAGGAGTATCTGTATGAGAACCATAAGACCCACTTAAATACGTTACGCGCCTTAACTTAAGTTTTTTCCTTCTGAACTCGTTTATCATGTCACGTATTCCAAGCCAGATTAGAGAATCAACTATTTGATACGATAACTGCAAATGTAAAACAGAAGTTTTGAATTAAAAGAGTTTGTATCAAACTCATATATGAATTACAAGTGTGTATGTACTCACTTTATATGCAACTTGTTGCCTAACTCGGGAAAGAGGATGTGGAAATTCACTTGTAGGCCTATATGATGAAGATAAAAATGGGCACATCAGTATTAACTAAATGTCTAAAATATCTTAATCGTCAATAAGCATTAATTATAGAGATCAGCTTAGGTCAAGTCCAACTGAGAACATAAAATGAGATATAGCTAGAAAATTCCCTTTGATTCCCGAAATCCTCTCGATAAGCAAAATGTGTAACAAAAAAGTGAATAGCAAAAAGATTTTAGGAGGGTTTTGAAGTAAATTATTATATCTATATATGTACTTTCTTCATATCTAAAATGGAGAGGGACTTCGTAGGTCAACACTGCAGTAATTTTTTACGAAATAAACAAGTAAAGGCTGATAACAAAATACAAAATGCAATATATCTTACGTCCATGGCATAGTAAAAATTATGTGTAGCGGTACTTTTAAAGCCTCAGCAACATGTGTATGCCCTGTAAAAGTCATACACTTATGCACATTCAGATGAGAGCCTCAAGCGTAAGTTTTTTTTTTTTAAAAAAAAAACAAAGATCAAATCAGTTCAGAATCTTTTGGTACATTTTAAATTGGATGGGCATTCTGACTACAAACAATGCAAAGATATTATATTATTTGCAATATCTGCTTGATTGAGTTTAAGGTTTAACTGCTAATGTTCATCTAAATATTTTGCAGTAAATCTTAATAATAATTGGATCAAAGCTGATGTGCAGGAATAAAAGGGGAACTTTTGTTCAATTTGTGAATAAATAAAGAAGAACACTGCATTGCCCCATAAACAATGGATCCTATAGGCAAAAATTTATGAGATTCAGCCATGATGTTCAGCTTTTCCAAAAAGTATTCACACTGTCAATATTTAAATGATTCCTACTATTGTTTGTTACAAGAAGAACAACTTCAGCTCAAATGTATATCTTCTTCTTTTTCTAGTACTTTCGACTTAATTCACGAAAAATGAAAAGCACAAGAGAAAATGAGAAAAGATTAAACAAATAGAAGTGATGATGATACCCCGCAGAAGAATACATTTTCAAATATTAAAAATAAAAACAATGCAACCCACAAGGAAAGTATCTTGTAAGAAGTCAAAACATGCACGCAGACATACACACACACGCACATACACACACACATACAGTTTTATATATATATATATATATATTACCATATGCAGGGAGATTTGCAATTATTGCATCTGCCTTGAATGGAATTTTTGTGTCAGGATCAGGATCAGTACATGCAGGAAGTAAAGAGAAAATGATCTGCTTTATTTGTTGACGTTGAATATGTATTTCTGATCGTCCAGATGGCAAGAACCCTTTGTGCTTGACCATATCTACAAGAAGCACACTTTTACACATTAAATCATATTGGTTGACAGTTCATAAACAAACTGGAGAATGAAAAAGGGAAAAATAACATTTTCCTTACACAAGAGTACACCCTAAATAAAAAGTGGTACAATTTTTACCACAAATACAGTCTCAAAGGTTATTATAGTCTTATAATGACAAAACGAAAGTAAAAAAGCAGGCTTAAAAATATGAGTAATTAACTCACAAGCCGCAAGGACTTTTGGGTCTCCACCAAGAGGGAAAAATTCCAATCCAGCAGACAAGACAAAGTCTTTGAAATTTGAGTGTGTTGCCAGTCTCACCCTATGACCATCTGCCTGCCAAAAAATTCCAGCATCAATTGTTCAACAGCAAATCTCACAAGACCAACAATGGAGTCAATGCTGGTAATGTCAACATAACCTGAAAAATTACAGGGGAACTCACAACCTGAAGTAATGAAGTGCAGGATTCAATGGAATTTGGATATAGACCAAAAGCGTTGGACCATTAATGTTTATTAAACAAATTCATGAATGAAATTCCAGTTTTCCGTATTTTCAGTTGGGTTTCCATTGTGTTTTTTCAGAAAAGGGAGAGTATCTTTGGTCACATTTTTCACTGGGTATAACGAATAATTACCTATTGGTTAGTGAGATTTAGAAAATGATGGAGCTTAGTTTTTCTTGTGAAACTTGACATAAAAATTCATGATTTCTAGTTCTTCAATAGTGTTAAAGAAAGAAAAGATGAAAAGATGTCCACAAAAACCGAACATACTAAACTTATAATAAAAGATGATGAGAAGGGGAAAAAAAAACATAATGTGATAAAAGGAAAAGAAAATGTGGTAGTGCTTGTTCACAAATCTACCGGAAAATTAAAAGTAGGCACTCAAAATAAGCTATAGGCTGCAATTGACAACTATGTGGGATAAACCATTTATTAGAATCACGTATAATGATACAAACTTCTTACCTATAAACGTTTGCCGATAGCAACAAACGGCTGCACATCTCCTCTCGTACCAACAATAAGCATAACGATGTGAATTGGAGGCAACTGTGGAGCATCTTCAACTTCTGCACCTTCTACAAATATCTCTCTCTCGTAATCTGTTTTCGTGCCAAAATCAACGTTGTGATGTCTAATGTCTACTGGAATCTCGAATTCCACAGTTCCATTGCCTAGAATGGTGGCAAATCCTTTCAACAATTTAAGCTACAAAAAAATTGAGAGCCCAGTGTAAATATATATTAGAACTCATTTTGACATATACAAAAAAAAAAAAGTCCGAGAAACTTAAAGTATGAGACAGTTATAGAGACCAGAGAAAAATTCAGGTTTTGAATTCATTGACAGCAAGAATAAAATTATCATGCTACAGATGGAAATTAGAGAACTGAGGAGAAGAAAAAATGAGTGCATCTAACCTTCTTTTTGAATGGGATTTTTTCGTCGAAAAACCTTTTAGCCAAAATAATACGAGAGTGGTTTGGTTTTTCATTTATCACAGTCCCCATAGAATTATTGGAAAGGGAACCTGAATTGTCCTGTGCTGACAACTCCAAGGACTTAAATTCTTTCACTGGCAGGTTCCTGTCAGAAGATCCTAATAAATGCAAACCAATGCAGAGTATTTGATGCCGGGAAAAAGAATGGAAATAGAATAGATTACAGATTAGGGTAGAAGTGAATTTTTTACGCAGTAACAAATGAGATACAAAAGGAAATTCAGAACTATAGAACCATCAAAAGCTGCTAAATAAGTAAATAGAAATACTTCCACCACGTTATGCTTCAACAGTACTATTTAATAAAATTTTAAGGAGATTTATTTTTTCTACTTTCCATGCTGATGGTCTGGCTACATTTGATCGAACGACATAATGTTCATAAAACAACTACATATGCCAACATGACCTCTCTTTTTGGCTTGTTCCACTTTTTTTTATCCCCAATTACCTTATCATGGTCACAACTGTGTAGTGTCAGAATAAAGTCCGGTGGCCAACTGGATGATCATCCTAGTTTATTCAATTAGCTTAACGAGAACCAATTTTCTTTCGAGCATTAATTATTATTTAAGGCAATTTAACAATGAATAACAACATTAAGAAATTTAATCTTTTTTTAAACATTGCTTCAATCTGTCCAACTGACTTTTAGCTGGTAAAGCTACCACATACATGTTCAAGAAATAAAAGTTACACGTCTCATAGTCGCACAGAAAACTAGGATCAACAATAGCTTGGCACAGATCATGTGGTTTTTTTTTCTGTAAAAAATAATTTCAATGAGTTGGTTGAGTCCATAGTGATAGCATTTAACACATTTAATGACACTATAAGCATGCGGTTGGAGATATTTTCCATTTTGAGAAAAAATCGGCTCATAGGGAATAGTGTTGAAAAATACTTGGGGGGAAGAACAAACAATTTTTGAGAAGGTGAATAGATATAAAAATTAAAATGTAACGATTAAAGTTGATCGTGTAGAATATAATGGATCTATTTCTACAAACGGCACCTCACTCTTGAGGGACGATTTTCCATGTAAACAAACAACTCAAGTGGATACTCGTAACCAGAACAGAACTGTTTATATACTTAGATTGAACCTCGTGTATAAATTGCAGCTACTCTGCATATTATATTCAATCCATAAACCCATATTCATAAGTCTCTATCACGTATCCACTTCACAGTTCAATACAAACAAAATCAACTACAAGAGCACTTATAGCCATCAATCCTGATTGATTCCTTAGCATTTCTCCTCTAATATTCGACGAATAATGTAAAAACTAAAAAATTAAACCTTTTTCAATTGCGAATATTTCTTCTCTAATTCTTCTGCAGACTATTCCTAAATTATATCGTTTCCCCAACTCTCAAAAACACCTTTTCACAAAAACAAATAAAAATGACAAAAAATTTAAAACATACACACTTCTGGGCAGCACTTGGCATGGGTTGCCTTGCAACAAAAATACAAAACCCAGCACTGCCACAAACACCAATCCGAAGGCATTGCGTCTTAATTCTTAAGCATAACCAGTTGTACCACCACCCAGCATACGATCGCCACAGAAGAAAACCTGAACACAGATCAAACCGCATAAAATATTACCTGATACACTGGAACACGAGTCGCTGCGTGAAATCCCACCAACACCGTTGGCAGCCAACGGCCCATGACCAGCAATATCGCGCTTGCCATCACCATTTTCTCTCTCGATTTCCACCACAAAATTACCCTCCGCCATTTGAACCCGGGGCGAGAATCGGAAATCCCTCAAGCACAACAGAGGGAGCAGAATTATGGGTCGGCCACTTGTTACCTTTTCTCCGTTGTTAGCTAAAAAAAAAAAAGAAAATAAAAAGGTGATGCCTTTGGGGCATTTTCATGCACGCAATGTGCTGTTTTGAACAAAATGCTATTCCGCGCTTTCTTTGTTTTTTTTTTTGTTTTTTTTTTTGTTTTTTTATCATTAATTGTTTAAGAAATAGAAAAAAGGTGGTGGTCCTTGTGCGAGATTGGAGAAGGTGGTGATGTTTGCTGGATTCTGATTTGGGTAATTGTTGTACTCTTTTGGGTTCACCTCTCTTTGTGTTTGTTAATAATTTATGCACTGATTCTTGCACTCGAAATGCAGAAAACGTAAAGGGCACGGTTCGAAAGGCACATTACCAGGAAGTCTGCCTTTAGGTTTAGGTCACCTGCTGGTACCAGCTTATGTGCACACGTGTCAGCTCAGGCTCTGGTCTCTCTACTCTGTCCCGGCCCGCCATTCATATAGAGTCCAATGTTTGGTCTGACGTCATTGGTTCACGTTGGATTAATGGTTGAATAAAGTTTGGTTAGGGCATCCGCATCGCCCATTATTTGTTGGACGTTTAAACGGCCCCCTGCGTTCAACATGGATGCGGCTCGTCCATTAACAAGGGGGCCCCACTATTTCGTTCAGCAGGCTTAACGCACCGCTTTTTTTTTTTTTTTTT